AGCAGTCACTAGATTCCAAGAGCTCATGGTGGTCGCGTTCAAAGAATTTGCGGGCATCACACAGAACACCATCTCCGAGCAGCGTGCGAAGCACAAGGATGCCGTACTAGAGAACATCGAAAACTTCGCCAAGCGTACATCAATACGTAACCTCGGTCCCGATAGCAAGAAGCTAAGTGTGAATGATCTTGGGTTCTTGTACGACAAGTTCTACGCCGTGTTGTACGAGCGGCAGCAAAGAGCTGAGATAATGCAACAAGAGGCCGAGCGTAAGGCAAAGGCCAGTAGGATGAAGGCGACTGAGGTTGTGATGGGTACATCTGGAAACGCGGAGAAGGGTCGTGTGGCACTCGGACCTAGCCCTACCCAGATGGACTACGATGCTTTCAGAGAGTTCCTTGCTGGTAAGTCATGGATCATCGTTTCTAAGTATGTACGCTTACAGGATACAGGTATCGCAAAGTGGGCAATTACTGACTCACCGAGCTCGCCACCCGAGGGTAGTGGCACTCAGTCTCCGCACTCATACTTTGGAAACAGTATGAGGAAACGACCGCCAATGTCACCGTGGGGAACAGGACCGGAGCCAGCGGACCACGAATTCATGCGACGCTTGTTCCGGCGTTGGGATGTAGACATGACGGATTCATTATCGCTACAGAATGTTGTCACTGGCTTTGCCCACGTAAAGGGCACAAAGGACATCATGTCCAACATCAGCTACTTCTTCGAACTCTACGACGACGACGGCGATGGCAGGGTTGATCGTGAGGGTATCTTGAGAATCTCAGAAGCTCTTCTTTTCCTGTCGAGGCGAGGCGTCCACGACCCAAGTCCGGCTGCCTCGTCACTTGACGTAAGCTCGGAGGCAGGTTCAGAACGCATCGGTCGCGACGAACAGTTCCTGAGCAGCGTCTCCGCCTTCATTCGGCATTGTTTCGAGTACGCAGACCCCGATCACCCTTCTAATCAGTCAAATAAGGCAGTCGACCAGGTCTCAGAAGAGGTTGACAACTTCGCTATTGGCGATGACGAAGAAGATGACCTGATAGACTTTGGATCTGAGCCATCAACACCAAAAGCCACAGCAACCACGTTCGAGAAGTCTGAAAAGAACCCAATGTCACCAACACCATCAAATCATACCACTGAATCAGATGTTGCAGAGCGCAACGACAAGGCAAAGTCGGCAAACCTTGCGCTTGACCCGAACAAGCCTCTTCACATAACGCTTCCTACTTTCCGCATGGTCATTCTCGCCGACGACGCACTACTGAATTTCTTCGAAGTCGGCTTCTCATCGTCCTTCCGCCTGGCCGACGAGACGCTGTCCTCGGGATCCAGCTTCCACAACCTCACCACTTTCGCCAATGCTGGAAGACAAGGCGGCGGAGGTGGTGGACTAGGCGGTGTGGTCGGCGGCGCTGGCGCTGGTGTTGTGCCACCCGGCAAGGGCCTACGAGGCATGCTCGACAACATCGTCAATGACGGAATGCGCGTTGCAACTGAAGTGAGGAGGCGATACGACGAAGCGCAAAAGGAGCTGGACAAGGAAGCTCGACACGGACGAGAAGACGATGACGATGATGAGGAGGTTGATGCGAAAGACCTGGACCTCCTGGAGGGTGCCGAGACGGTGGACGTGGGCGCATCAAAGGGGGAAGCACCGCTGGACCTACTGTCACCGGCAGGTACTGGGGAAGAGATCAAGCCGGCTAGGAACCGGTCGGCTAGTGATGCGAGTAGAAGAGTGCTTGAGTTTGAGCGGTAGCATTTGGGACGTAGCAGGAGTGATCTCTTTGGAGTTTAGGATTATCTCAAGACCTTGCTTCTGTGTAGACTCATGTATGGAAACGTTCAAAGTTATCTTCTGTGCACCAAGATTAGTGATGTCGCCTACGTTGCATAGCCCATAGTCGGAGGGCGAAGACCCCTGACAGCTATCCGACGTCAACCGCGTGCGTGTCTCTAGCTCTCCACAGCTACCCCGCAAGTCTCGTACCTGGCCCGCGGCTCAGTTCCGAACGAAGCTCACTAACACCAGCTTTCTCCACACGAGCATATCTCACGATGCACGTGTATCCTTCCTTACCTCGGATGCATTCCGCGTCTGAAGATGCTTCGGTCGCTCTTTGCTCGTGCTGCAAGGTCCCGTAGGCCTGCTTACTGCGCACGACGCGGTCTACTCACACAAGCATACAGCATTGGGCCCAATGAGGCATGTTCCAAGCTTCCCGATGATGTGATGGTGGAGACTGACGTTATGATAGCCGCCATTACTGGAGAAGACGGTGCCACAGCACTTTGACGAGGTTGTGAAGCAATACGGTGACAGGAACGCGTACGTGCCGACTGACACAAGCTCCAGAGACGCGTTGCTAATACTCATATAGAGTCATATCGCACCATCAACGTATACACCTGACGTACGATGCGCTCGATCGCGACTCGAACAGGCTTGCCAGGGGACTGCAGAAGCTTGGCGTGAAGAAGGGGGAAAGAGTCGCCGTCAGTCTAGGGAACAATGCTGAGTTCGCTACTGTATGTTGGAAGCATGTTGGAGACGCATAGTTGCTGACCAGGGAAAGCTCACGTACGCGCTGTTTAAACTGGGAGCGATACTGGTATGTAGCCAACCGGCTAGGAGCATGGGCACTAGCAGCTAACAGCTACACAGGTGCCACTGAATCCCTCGTTCAACGCACCCCAAGTCCTCAACGCGATCAATCACCTAGATGCCGCGCATCTCGTCATCGGAGCCGAAACGAACCTCCCGCGTAAAGACCCGCGATCCAACATCTCGCTCCTCACGCACTTGATACCCAATCTCGCCGGCTCGACCCTCGAATCCGAACTCGTCCCGTCGCTGAAGAACGTCATACTGGTGAATAACGCGCAAGGCAGGGTGGATCTGGGAGACTATAGGAGTCTAAAGAGATACGAGCACGTATTCGAGGATGGCGCACAGGACAATGCGTTCGAAGATCAAGGCCTGCATCCGGATGACATCGTCAATATCCAATTTACGTCTGGCACTACAAGCATGCCGAAAGCTGCGTGCTTAAGTCATAGGAGTATTTTGAACAACGGAAACAGCATCGGCGATAGGATGCTATTAACGCCAGACGACGTTGTGTGCTGTCCGCCTCCATTGTTCCAGTAAGTCCTTGTAGCAATCTACTGTCAACATCAACTGACTGTTTGTAGTTGCTTTGGATGCATTCTGGGATACATGGCCACGGCTACCCACGGTAGCGCCATCGTATTTCCCACCGAAGCCTTCAATGCCCTGGCCACACTTGAAGCCGTTCGCGAATACAAATGCACAGCCCTCTATGGCGTCCCCACCATGTTCGTAGCTGAACTGGAGCTGCTGGCTCATGGTGCTGTACCCAAAGATGGTTTTCAATATCTGCGTACCGGCATTGCAGCAGGCTCTGCTATACCCTCGGAACTCATGCGCAAGCTACACAAGAACCTGAACTTGACTGAGTTGACCATCTGTTACGGCATGACCGAGACCTCTCCTGTATCAGCCATGACCACCACGGACGACCCGATCGAAAAGCGCATCGACAGCGTCGGTCGTCTTCTCCCACATGTTCGCGCCAAAGTCGTCAGTCCGTCAGACTGGTCGCGCACACTTGACGTAGGCCAACGCGGCGAACTCGCAGTGTCAGGCTACCTCCTCATGAAAGGGTACTGGGGTGATACAGCACGCACAGAGGAAGTTCTACAACCGGACGAAGACGGTATGCTATGGATGCATACCGGAGATGAGGCGTCTATGGACGAAGAAGGATACATCAAGATTACTGGCAGGATAAAAGATCTGATCATCAAGGGGGGCGAGAACATCCATCCACTAGAGGTCGAGAACTGTCTCTTCGCTCATCCTGCTATCAGCGAGGTTAGTGTGGTGGGTCTACCCGACGAGCGGTACGGTGAGGTTGTCGCAGCCTTCATAGTCACGCATGCTGGCGATGATGGGAACGTGACCACGGACGAGGTGCGAAACTGGGTCAGGGAGAAATTGAGCCACCATTTAGGTAAGTCCATGCGCTCCTACAACATCGAATTCGAAGCCTCGGGCCCGCCTAGGAACTATGCTGACTGTATGTACTAGTGCCGAAGTACGTCTTTTGGGTCGACAACTACCCCAAGACTGCGAGCGGGAAAATCCAGAAATTCAAGTTAAAAGAGCGAGGAATTGCGCTATTGCAGGAGGGTAAAGGTCTAATCTAACGTCCTGTGCGCCTTGCACTCTGCAATAAGAAACATACTTCTCTTGACTGTCGTGGGTATCGTGGATCTGATGACTAATTCGGAACAGAGACTTTCTTGACGAATTTTGCAGATCTTACAAAACCATTAACAGTGGCAACATCTGTCGCTAACCGAGACCTTTACAAATCTATTCCTAGCTAAAGGCATGCGGTCAACAAGGATATTGATGTATAGTACTTTATACGAGGAACATGTGTGGGTCGGCTCAACATACTGCATTCAGGCGCGTAAGCCTCGCAGCTTGGTACTATCCTGGTCTCCTAACGCGGACAAGAGCGCCTGCACGCAAAATTTGTTACCCGCATTATGGACCATTCTTGGACGAGAAGCGAAGCTTTGGATAGGGTTTACAAGCTTGCTGGCCAGTTTGCGCTGAATTCGTGGGTCATCCGCTTGAGCCCTTTTGATGCATGAAGTGCGCCCTCCAACACACTCGCACGCATAACTTTCAATTTCTAATCGCGCCTTTCTTGCACACCGGACTATCTGTTATTGAATACTCACGTACTAGTTATCCGTACATTGTCGCTCTTGCCTCATTCTCTATAAGAGTGCGTAGGCTAGCTAGCATTCGAAGCTCAACATCTCTCAGCGTGGACACAATACACCTCCTGCGAACCAGGAACTACTTCCTCATCGACATCAAAACTAAGCCCTCCGCCTCCTACTAGTCGAGACCGTCCCAATAGGCACTCGCCTTCACATACGCGAACATGTCCAAACCAGCAACAAACACAAAGACGCCTACTCCCTCTAACCCCTCCTCTCTAAAGCCCCGCTATGAGATCCGTAAACTAGAACCCAAAGATCTGCTCTGGGCGACCGCCATCTTAGCCCACAGCCACGGTTTCCACTCCGCGATCTGGCAGCACATCTGGCCCGACAAAGCACTCGGCCGCTGGACACTAGAAAGTGCCAGAAAACTCGAGTACCTCGTCGCCCACCAAATCGACTCTGGTCTATCCTACGGCGTGTTCGACACAGAATACCAGTTCAAGACCCCCGAGGCGAAAGAAGCAGGCGGGAAGCTATTCTGGGATGTCAATGAACCGGAGGAGAATAGCGTGGAGCAAACCCAAGGACGAAAAGCAGAGGGCTTGAGACTACTCCGCCAGATGGATTTCCCATTGGTCAGCATAGCGTTGTCGTACGACAACTTCGTCCCTCTCGATCCCGCGAAGATGGGCCCGGTAGACGAAGCGATACCAGAATTTGGTCCGCTCTTCGGCGCTCTACGGAAGCTCGACCCGAGGGATCCAGCGGAGTGGAAAGCTACCGCACCAGGCCAGGTGCTGATGCGTAACGCGACGTCTACACGCCATGACTACGAGGGCGAGGGTGTTGCGTCGGGCGCGGCGCGTTGGCTGCGGCGCGAGGCCAAGTTGATGGGGTTTAGAGGTATTCAGATTGAGTGTATTGCGGATGCTGTGACGCATCTTTGGAGCGATGGTGCGGAGGAGCCGTTTAAGGGAAGGGTAGTTAGTGAGTTTGATACGGAGACTTGGGAGGATGAGGAGGGACAAAGGCCGTTTGGTTTGGCGAGGCAGAGATGTACTAAGTGTTGGGTTGATCTGTAGGCTGGTGGTAAATGAGAGGATGAGAAGGGAGTGGATTTGGATTTGAACGACCTAAAGGTCGCTCATTTGATTGTGCTGCGTGGAAGCGTCCTCTACTGATACTGAGTGATGAGACCTCTGACGTCAGTGCCCAGGTGGTGTACATCAGCCGACGGGCACAGTCAAGAACTGCAACACTTTCTGAATCACAATCAAGCTCTGCTCGCATGTTACACATGACCTTGGAATCAATCGATAGACCGTAGTAATTCCGATACCCAGTAACATCGACGAAATGACCGATTTTCGCTCGCGGGCTGAAGCCGAGCTTCTCGTTACAAGAACATGCTATCTCTCAAACGATCCCGTCTTCTTCATAGTCCTCATCATCGCAGAGTACAATTTTAAAGAGGGAGTTATATACCTCCAAGATGGTCTCGCAGGCTCGAGGCTTTACCAGCCCATGAACTCCAGCCAATTTATCCAGTGTCTCGACAACGAGACAGGTGAGGAAGTTGAAGTCGTGCGCCAAGGCACAGAGCCAGTTCTCTTTCGTGAAGACCAAAGCGAAGTCATCTTTACTACAGGGACGCCCAGTAAATCCTGCGAAATGCCGTTCATTACTACTGCTCTCCGACCAGATAGGAAGTACAGACTGTGCTTCAAACCGACAACCCCGATTTCGCATTGGCCAGTCAGCGCGGTGAATACTTCGACTTCTCTTTCAAGAAGCCCGGGCGGTTTGCTATCTGCGTCTGAACTTCCTACACCAGCCACACCGACTATACCCTGGCAGGCCGCCAACGGCAACGACACAATCATCTTCGAGACCCGAAGTTCGCGACCAAAGACACCAAAAGTCACCGCCTCTCTATCAGCACCATCAACATACTCTCTCTCCTCCCTCACCAAGAAACTCGCTTTCACGCTCACGTTCTCGACGGACGCCGCGTATCCCTTTACAGTCCATGCAGATCGCGCATGGGTCAAGTCTCTTCAATCCGACTTGGCAATCCTCGACGCAACGTCGCGCTGCAAGCTCGAACCCTATCTAGATGTAGATCGAGAGCATTACGAAAATGAAAGACACGAATTCATACGATTCGAAGGAGCGTATACGGAGCACCGAGAGTTGGATTTCGGAGGCGGGAATTTAAGTAGGTTGGAGCTAGAGGTTGGGAAGGAGTACATACTCTGCCATCTCGGCGGATCGTGGTGGTGGACAGAGGATACGGTAGATGAGGTAATGAACTACCTTGCTTCTTGGAGTAGTGCAGGGTTGGAGATGGGTACGAAAATCGAGTTTGAGGGCGCAGGGGAAGTGAAGTTTACGGTGGTGAAGTGATGATACTCTGAGGATAGACGAGCATTCTGCTGATGTGCACCTGGAATATCATACAAGAACCGTCTTGAAATGAGACGAAGATGTGACCCATTGCGCACTCTTGAAATAAGACTGAAGAGCATGTAGCTGTCAATACACTGGTACTGTCCATTCTTCGAGCAACACATCGACGATATCTCGGTCCACCGAGATCGAAATGTTTCCAGTCTCTGTCATTTGCTCATCGTCCTCTAGCTTTGACATGATGTCAGCAGTGTTCTTGGAAAACTGCTCATTCTCTTCCTTTGCCAAACGTCGCCTTTTTCTCGGTGAACGCTGATCGGCGTCCTGCTCCGTTCCATCGTCAGTCGAGAAGCGTAGGGCCGCTGGAGGTGGCCAAGAGAGACCTGTTCTAACGTCGGAAGGGCTGCGCGAACGCTTTTGGTCGCCCACTCTCCCTACATTGGGTTTGAGACTTTTGGCTCTAGAGAGGTAAGACTCCTCGGCCTCGGGCTCTACGTATCCTGATGATGTATCGTATTCCCCCCCATCCGGCGCAGACGTGGAGATGTTCGGGTCGTAAATCTTTCCACCTCCATCGTGAATAACGGGCGGGTTCTTGTGTGATTTGCTGCTTGACGAGCTACCAGAGGTTGTGTACAGGCTCGATGAGGGTGGGACAGGAACGCCTAGCTGTTGGCCAGTGTTCTCAAATACGGTAGGAAGCCCTTGAGCGTGCTCGGCAATGTTGATGCCGCGACAGGTTTTCTCTGAAAGATACTCTTTCTCAACGTTCCGCGTTATGCAGCTGCCACACGGATAATTATAATCGCACTGCGGCCAATCAGTACGATATGCGGAGGTGATGTGGGTTTACTTTACCTTGAGTTTGAGGCTGTGACAGTTGTTGCATGGTTGGACCGCATTCCTCTTTTGCTGTTCCGTGAATGCGCGTCCAGGGGTTGGTGCACGTTTCTCCTCCTTTGTGTTTGCTCTTTTGCGAACGCCTGGCCAACCGTAGACTTGTAAAGTTGATTGCGGATCTTGCCTCTCACTCTTCTCAGACTGCATAGGTATACTCTCTGTCATCGAATTATCCGCCATCAATTGGTTGTTACCATATTGTCCCTGTTCAGAGGGTGGATTGCTTTTCCTTTTCCGACAATACAAGAACATCAACTGATATTGATAGTCTCGCAGGACAGTGGTAGGACTTGGCGGTTGTGGTAAGAGTGTCGAATCTGCGGTCAACATGGGAGACTGGGTATGCAGCGAGCTTTCGACACCGCTTTGTGACGACTGAGATATCGCAGGAATCACAGGTCTGCTGTAAATAGGCATAGAGGGACTAGAAGTAGAGACTGGTGATAGCATGGGCCTGTTGAGCATGGGCATAGCAGGACTAGGCGGGCTTTGAATCATTCCTGACATTGGCTGCATTGCAGCTTGCGAATGAGCTTGTTGGTGCTGCCAATGAGCTTGATGGCGCTGCGCTTGAGCTTGTTGGTGCTGCGCTTGAGCTTTTTGGTGCTGTGCTTGAGCCTGTTGTTGAGCCATGGATTGCGCTTGAGCCTGTTGTTGAGCCATGGGTTGCGCTTGAGCCTGTTGTTGAACCATGGATTGCGCCTGCCTCTGAAACTGCGCCCACGTCTGCGATAATGCTTCAGGAGTCTGCTGAACAAGTGCTGACTGTCCTTGACCAAGACTAGGTCGTTGTTGCTGACCAGACAGATCCAACGGAAAGTCTGAGGCTGCACTTCCACTCGGCGCTGGAGGATAATGGGGCGTTTGCGCATCAAATGATGGGATCGTTTCCAGAGATCTATGTGACACAAGAGGCGGGTGCTGTGAGCTCTGCGCCGACGATATGGCATCGAGATTGGGTGTCTGCTGAGGCACTGCACCCTGCCCTTGGCTGAAATAGAAATCATCCAATGGAAAATGCGTGCTCTCACCCGGGACGTGAAGAAAGCTATCAAAGTCAAAATTCTCCAGACTGCCCGAGTTATCGTTCATATCGAAATCGATGAATGGAGCAACCTTTCCAAAGTCGGCAGCTGACGGAAGCTTGATACCTGATTCAAATTTGCGACAAAAGCGTTGATACATTTTGTGCACGTGTCGCTTTCGATGTTTCTTCTTGTCGACATCGAAGCTCTTCTGTAGCATTGTGATGCGCTTTAAGAGTTTCTTCACATGGTCCGCTGCTTTTGCCAGCTCTTCGGTCGAGATCCGCTCTTCATTGTCATCGCCTGACATCGTTGCGTCGCTGTCAGAAGTGTCCGAATCATTTGTGGTCGAGAGTTCGATGGTAATGGTGTTTGGCTGAAGCTTTGGGACTTTCTCTAGCGGAGGCAGCTCCATAACCGGAGCGTTGGCCATAAGCTCCAAAGTTGGGACACGAGAGGCGACGCTTGATCCTCGAAGGGTTTCTTCGTCATTGATTGCGATATGACAGAATCTGTTTTCGAGAGCTTGCAGGCTTTTGAGTGAGTCCTGCTGTCGCTGGTGCAATTCGCGGATCTTCTCACGCTCTTCATCCAAGACACCTTTTTCCATTTTTCTGTGGCTTTTGTCAGCTGCATTTTATGCATGGTAGTGTATTAACTCGGCTTACCCTCGCGCCTGACCTTGGGCTAATTGCAAGACATGCAACAAAAGCACAAGGCTGTTCTTCAAACTCTCAAGTCTCCTTCGGTTCAATTCGACCCGCTGTTCCTTCATCGGCCAGGCCAGCTTACCCATCACGCTCAAGCTTTTCTTTCCATCCTTTGCAGTCTTTCTCCTCTTCTCTACTATCTCTGACACTTCGTCGAAGACGCTTTGGCACTTTTTGATGATGTTGTTAGCGTCCTGGATAGCCTTCTTCGACACGATGGATCCGGCCTCTTCGGACTCAAACACCCTGCCTACGCTTTCGAGCGCATTTGATGTGAGCTCTACATCATCGGCAATGTCCTTGACGTCTTGGTCTGCCCGCGCGGCTGAGTTCGTGAAGTTGTACAACGCGACGCTGAGCTTGGCACCAGCCCCCGCGATCTGGATGATGCTAGCTGCGAGGCCTATGACTTCGGCCATCGTAGGATACTTGCTGCGTGCGCATTACTTGTCCTTTCCAAAGTGTCGCATTGCAATGGTGCTAGGATTGAGCGCGAAGATAAGGGCGGATTGAATGGGAAAGCAGCCTTCTTGCGAAGGCTGAGTGCCTGCATGACCCGCTGCGGCTGAGGCGCAGCCGCATGCTGTGAACACCTTGCCATGGGAATTAGAGCAAATGAGGATGCCGTCGCACATGCGATGCTGTACAGCGCTGTGAGCAATGCAGGCAAAGATATGCGACAATTGTTTCGCGTACAGACATGATATGTGTCCTACGTAGTGCTTGGGTCCTGTGCAGGTGCATGTGGCCCTCAGGTGTGCCTGCCTGTTTCGATTCCTCAGTTCCGCGCCTCCGCATCGAATCACTATCTCACACCGGTCGACTGAAGAAAAAGACGAACTCCTCTTCATTTCCACAAATTATACCTTGACAATGACACGTGCACCAAAGAATGAATGGGCAAGCAGCTCTCTTCGGTTTTATCGCGGCTGAGCTTCGCACAATAATACACCGGCTGCAGGATGAACAAGCAGAAGAGTTGGGAGACCATACAGTGCAGGAATTATGAAAGAGTAAGGTCAGTCTGGCGCATCATGCAGAATGTGAATGGTATAAACATCATGTTCTGAAGCTAGGCTCTGGGTATATAGCGAAACAGCGTGGTAATGCAAGAAAAAACGTAGGAATGGCGTGTGACTTCATCGAGCGCCCTCAGCTACCCTCCACCTACTTGACATGTACAAGTTCGGGTGTCTGCTGGTAGTAATCCTGTTGCCCATTGCCATAGCCGTACGTGACCTGCTGCTGCGTAACGGGCGCATAAGTTTGTTCGGTCTTCTCGATCGTCTGGTTCCAGGAGACGTGTTTGGCGATGCCCAGCAGCGTTATAAAAGCCAAACATTTGACTAAGCCCATGATGTAAGACAAGGCCAGCGATGCGCCAAGAGAAGGTGTTACGGGCCAGTAGATACTGGATGAGTAGATTACCCCCAATGATGCGTTCACCAATAGGGTAACATAGAGGGCGGTAACCCAGCCGAAGAGGTCCTGGGGCTGTTAGCAATTGTACCAGTAGATAGTAGCTGCCATGGACTTACACCTCCGGGTAAGCGTCTTGATCTCAATGCCGAAACGTTTGACAGAGACATAGCCGCCGAAATAATAACAACGATCATCCATACGATGTCGTAGGCAAGATCGAGACCATTTGAAACTAGTAACGCAAAGTCCCAGTTGGAGTCCAAGGAGTTGTCCGCCAATGCGACGTAGGCAAACATGCTGACGTCTGCTAGGATGACAGCAAACGCAACGCCAATAGTAATCAGAAGTACGGTCTTGGAACCAGATGACATGTTCCCAAATTGCTTGTGCAGCATGGAGTTCAGGACGTAGACAAACACGAACAGCAGCGCAGCATTGGCCAAACCGCTCATGATGGCGGAGGCAACATTGATATTCCAATAATCAATGTAGTTGATGTTGTCGCACTGTGACATGACTTGGCTTACGAGACCTAAAATACGCGTGCTGGAGCATGTTAGCACTTGTAAAGCCTGCGAAATGCACTTTGTCCTTACATTACTTGGAGGAATAGGGCTACAACGAAAGGTACACCAATCAACTTCTTTCCGGCACCGCTCTTCTTGCGGATAAAGAACGTTGATATGAAAATTCCCGTGTACAGAACCAGGAACAGCACCACAAATGCAAGCGCGGCTTGACTGTACGGTGTATTGAAGGCGTCGGGGCATGAAGCATTGCTATATCCGGTGCCGCCGCCGCCGCTGCGTCTGGGTGCCATGGCGAAAGGGTGTTGGTGCTGATCAAGTCCCTAAGTTGGATTTCCGAAGTCAATGTGAGGTGAGTTGGCGTTCGACTGACGGTAAGACGCGAGACACGGTTCGCGGCGACCTCAAGAGTATTTCAGCAATAACAACTGCATGCTGCATTGGTGCTCCGCCTTCTCACAGCCTGCAGCCTTCCCGTTTTTCCCGTTTTTGGGATTAAGTCAGGGGCAACTGAAGCGTCGCTAAGCCTCTCAAAGCGTTTGTCGGGCGCCTTACTGTGCCAGAAGGATGGAAGCGAGAGTGCGCGAGATCCTGTGGACGCCTTAGAGCCGGGGTGTCAAAGCCCCAGCGCGTAGACATAGTGTCTGGCAAACCCCGAGCGCAGTGCATTTGAAAAGAAAAGTATACTGGCTTCGGTTTCTCGTAGGAAGTCATGTCCGCAGTATGTTGAAATGAGACGGGGAGGCTGGTTGCGGGTTACGTCGGGATCAACGCTGTTGCCGACTCTAACCAAAAAAAAGACAGGGCTGTGCCTCAAATAGCAGTGGTCTGCGGGTAGTCCGGCTCTGCAAGCGGCTCAAGAGAGTGTCGCGTCGCAAAGTGGAACGCACGGCATGACAGGACGGCCGCCCAAAGGTGCCCAGGTGATCGCCCGGGCAATTTAGCCTTGCGAGTGGCTGGAGCTTCACGTGACGTGGCTAGTGCAGCTACGGATCAGTTTCCGCGATGCAGGGCGCGGCATTACATCATGTTCGTCGCCTCGACCATTTCCCTGCGCGTCTCATTCACGCGCATCTGTTCTTTCAGAGGATAGGCGGTCAGCTGCTCTGATTTATCTTATCACAGCTCGGCCGTCGTCTTACATCTCGCCGTGAGCTCGTAACATCCACCTGTTCCGATGATTCCGTTACAAGGGACCCACGCCACAACTCTCTCTACCAGCCACGGACATCCGGTATATATCCTCAGACTGCCGCGTATCCATCTCCAAACCGCAAACTATTGAAGACGACACAGAAAGGAAGCCGCAGAGTCAAAAATCCTAATTTACACCGTTGGTGCCCAAGAAGTCAGCAATGGCACACGTATTGCAGGGACTGTCGACGCGACCCGCGCTCGGTAGTCACGACACGTGGACAGCCAACGCAGCATCGGAAACACTGGATGTGGACGGCGCAACAACTTTGAGTCCCCAAAACGATGAGCAGGCAGCAGACTCGCGAAGTAGAAGTACGACAGCGATACCGTCCGATGACAGTGGTTCAGAAACGCAGGTGGTCGAGAAACCCGGAGGCCGTAGGAAGAGCATCCAGGTCGTTTTAGAGCAATCGGGAAAGAAGGGCGAGTACACATTCACTGCTAAAGATCCTGTCTTCCAAGAGGTTCTTCAGTCAGGTCTGCGGCGAGAGGCTGAGAAACTCAATGGAAAGGCGAAGGGGAAACCCCGCGATCTTGTCTTCACACAACAGTTCACCACGTTCGACCGCCAAAACGCGTCCGCTGCGCACTCCCCGTTCCATGGATTCTTCACACTCTTCTGGATCGCGATGGCTTTGCTACTCGCGCGAATAGCAGCAGGCAACTACAGGACGAAAGGCTCCGTATTTGGGGATGCAGAGATTCTGCACTTGATGATCGACAAAGACTTGTTCGTCATGTTGACGACCGATGTCGCAATGTGTGTAGCCACCAGCTTTGGCTTCTTCCTGCACAAGGCCATTGTCAACGACTATCTGACTTGGAACGGTTCAGGCTGGCTCATACAGTCTTTGTGGCAGACTTTCTTCACTTGCACCATCATCTGGGTTACTTTCTGGCGAGACTGGCCTTGGACTCATACAGTCTTCATCGTTCTCCACGTCTTCGTGTTGCTGATGAAGCAGCATGCTTACTCCTTCTACAACGGCTATTGTATGTGATCCGCACTGAAACAAGAGACCTGAGCTGACTATCAATAGTATCGCGAGTATATCGACGACGCAATCTGCTCCGTGAGAAACTACGTCAACTCGATGATATCAAAGCGCATGAGGGCCCGACCCAAACAGATCCCCCGACTGAGGCGCTAACTGCTTCCGGTCTTGAGAAATCTGACCAAGGCCAGTTGACGCGTCGGGGAAGCATTGGGCCAAAGTACTCTACCAATTTATCAAAGGAAGAGTCTGAGATTGCATCTATCGGCAAAGCTATTGAAACCGGGAACCCGCTGGATTCGGAACAGATTGAAGCCTTTCGACGCGTGCTCAACACCGAGATTACGATTCTTGATGAAGAGCTTCGTGGAAAGTGCACTACCACTGATAACGTCTACCCGAACAACTTAACGTTCTACAACTTTGTAGAGTGGGCGTGCCTTCCCACACTCGTCTACGATCTAGAGTACCCCAGGCAGGAACGCATCAACTGGTGGTATGTAGCGGAAAAGTCAGCGGCCACCCTGGGAGTCATCTGGATTATGATCATCATCTCGCAAGCATACATCTACCCAGTAGTCGTAGAGACTATGCGACACAAAGAGGCTGGCATGTCGCTCGATGAGCGATGGAAAGAGTTTCCATGGGTTGGTAAGTGCTACATCACTATGAGACCGTTGAATAAACCGCTAATCGTCTCCCTTTATAGTATCCGATATGCTCTTCCCCCTTCTCCTCGAACAGCTTCTCAGCTGGTACGTCATATGGGAATGTCTCCTCAACGTATTGGCAGAAGTCACGCGTTTTGCCGACCGTGGTTTCTACGGCGCGTGGTGGAACTCTGTATCCTTCGATCAATACGCTCGCGACTGGAACCGACCGGTCCACAACTTCCTGCTTCGACATGTCTATCACTCCTCGATCTCATTCTTCCATCTATCAAAGATGCAGGCAACTTTCTTCACTTTCTTGCTTAGCGCTATTGTGCATGAGGTTCTCATGTTCTGCTTGTTTAAGAAGGTCAGGGGATATCTGTTTACATTCCAGTTGACGCAGCTGCCGCTGGCAGCGTTCAGCAAGACGAAGTTTATGAAGGGGAGAGACACGTTGGGGAACATTGTGTTTTGGTTTGGTCTCTTCATTGGACCTAGTGTCATCACCAGCTTGTACCTTATCGTTTAGATGTACTAATACGTCGTCGAATCTCAGCTCTCTTTCAAACAATACATTGGTTGCTTAGTCTTGGTTGCATTCAATCCTCTGAGGCTTGTGCGCCTT